ATGAGACAGGAGCGGGGCATTTCACTTGCACTTGGGAATATCCATCAGGTAACACCATGCTCTCTATAGATTGAAGTGTATGGGCATCATGTTCAAATATATGTGTTTTCAACATGTTTGTTTAATATTCCTTGTCAGAAGATGTCAGAAGTCAAAGATGGCTAGTGAAACCTCATGAAGTCTTTATAGAATGGCAAGTCCAGTCCCACCAAACCTGCACTTTTTGCTTCACCAGGACCACCTCAAGATCGACCGGAGCCACCAGCAGAGGCCACAAAGCAGAACGAGACAGGAGCGGGGCAGTCCGCTTGCGCATGGGAATTTCTTTCGGGAGTTACCATGTTCATCCATGTTCTCCATAGTTTGAAGCGTATGGACGTCATGTTCAACAATATTTGTTTTCAACATGCTTGTCTCAAATTCTTCATCAGAAGTCAAAGATGACTAGTGAAACCTCATGAAGTCTTTATAGAATGGCAAGTCCAGTCCCACCAAATCTGCATTTTTTGTTTCACCAGGACCACCTCAAGATCGACCGGAGCCACCAGCAGAGACCACACAGCAGGAAGCGGCAGGAGTGGCCTGTCCGACACTTCCACGTGGGAATTTGGAGTGGTCTATAAAATGAAGGGTTTGAGGGAACTTTATAGATCTTTATTGTTATAACATGTTATATATATATATATATCAATGGATTTCAGGAAAGTATATGAAAGGTATTGAAAGAATGTGAAAGTAATATGTTCATATAGAGGTTATTTCACGCTAATTTATTATAGTATTAATATGTATTAATATGATTTAATATGTATTAAGTTGATAATGTGTTGCTATAGAAATCTATAGAAAGTCTAGTTTTGACAATCATCAGCGCCACCATGCAACCCGTTTCTGCTTATTCTATTGGATGCAAAGGTGACAGGGCTATGTATTATATAGTAAATGTTCTGCAGCAAACATGACCAGGACAACCGCCTCCGTTGCCACCGCCTCAACAACCTCCGGGCTGTGACAGTGAAGGTGGCTGGGTCAAAACAGGGATGATGAAGACATTCTCAAATTTGCATCAACGTTTTCTATAAATTGCAAGGGTGTGACCTCGTTATTTCATATGAAGCATCAGGGAGCCATGCATGTGCAGGCTGCTTATCCAAAACAAAGAAGCGCAAGGTTTCAGTGAAGAACGAGGCTGTCCATGGCTGCCATGGAGAAGTTTTGTGTGCCCTGTGCCCACTGATTGTGTGTTGTGTTGACTCTTCAGGTTGCGCAAACGATGAGGATAGCCAACAACCAGGCTGTGCACTCATGGCTGCCACACGTTGCCTTCAAGCGTTCTATGAAATGAATGGCTTAGTCGCCAATGATGTAGATAGTTTGATATATTGTGTTGTTTCTAAGAGGCTCTTTACCGACCACGCTGTCAGCGCTTTTGCAGAGTGTCGTGCAGCCAGTCAAACCGGAAGGCCAGCGTTGTGGAGCTACGCAGTATTATTGTCTATAAAATGTAGTGACTGCACCTTTGTTCACGTATACATCAAACATTATCTAGGTTGCTCTGGCAAATCTTTCCCGGCGGTGAGAGTGAAGAAAGAGGCCTGGTCGCTTCAGAGATCTTATTGCAATGCGTTCATAGATCTTGAATGGTCTTGGTAGTGTGTATTTGGCAGCATGTTCTTATACATCTTATAGTTCAGTGTATATTATTGTTCAGTGTTTATTTTGCCACCAGGCTGACTGTGACAGAGGGAAGACAAAAGGACAGGGCATGGGAAATTCGTATTTGTCTATATTATGACATGTCGTGACCTCTTATTTGCAGATAAAATCAACTACATGTACGACCGCTTTTGAACACGGAGGAGATCCAGCCTCTGGAAGCACTGCTTCAAACTCAAAAGGCTGCTCAAGTCTTCTGGTGACTTTGACCAAGTGGCAAATGACATTTCCTTCATGTTCTAATATGATCTAATATGTATATATATGTTTTATATACACATGTGCCTTGCGGCGCTTCAAGGCGAAGCATGCCAGCAATGTTGTAAAGGATGGCGAGTGGTTGGATGTGGTGGATATTGGCATGATGGGCACCTTCATGAGCATGGAGCCTGGTCGTGATGGAAACAGAAACAACTTTATGATTTCAGGGTAGGTCATTCGTATAGATTTTATAGGAAATATGTGGTGGTCACGTGTTATATATTTTACGTTGCACCCCCCAGTGCCAACCAAAAGATAGGACTACAGACACAAGGTACACAACTTGCTGACCTGTCATGCATCTTCCTTTGCCAGCTTAGGATGTTCATTTCGTGGTGGACCTTCCTGGCAAGGCGATTTTGGAGCCCAGAGACATGTTTGGTTTCATTCGTGACTTGGAACCAGAATGCTATGGAGATTTACAAGACCGGACGGAAGCCCCATGTTGGACAATCATCTATTGCAACGCAGCGTTCAACTCAGACTATGGATTCAACCACTTTGTTCCCGGGTTTTCTGCAGACGAGTTGGGTGAAGAGGAGTACAACAGGATTGTCCAGGGCAGCAAGGATCTTCTCGCACATAAGATGCTTGTGCTAGAGCAAGAGCAGCAGCATCGTGCTTCTCACTACTTGAGAATGAAGGAATTGCACGGAGGTTCTTCAAGCGTGACCGAGAAAGCAAAACATATGCTGGCCAACTGTGAAGAGAGGTGGATGTCCTTGACTAATTGGCAAGACTTTGTCGCCCGCTGTCACAAAATTCAGGTGCATCCTGTCAATGTACCAGCAGATGGAAATTGTTTGCTTTGGACAATAAAATGCCTCCAGGAGCAAGACTTTTTCGGCACCGCCCTGGACGTCTCCAATCCAGAGCATGTGGGCTTTGTCCATGATTTGAGGCAAACCCTGTCTTCTGCCTGGCTTTCCAAGATACACGACAAAGGTTGGGAGCGTCTCCATGAGAAGATGTACATTCATGATGATCGAGAGCTCTGTATCCCTGCGCGGGTGAAGACTGAGAAGACTCAGAATGACAAGCCTTCAAAGGGCGCAAGGCCTTCAGAGGTGAAGACTGAGAAGGGTCAATCTTCAACCCCACCAAAGCGCCCAGTAGAAGAAGTTGCTTGCTTTGACATTGTGACTCCAGAGGGAAAACCAACAAAGCAACCTCGCCGAGATCGCAAGGCTCCAGGCTTTGAAGCTTCCAAGGCATGCGCCGTTGGGACTTTGCGGCAGCCAGATCGGAAAGGACAACGCAAACAGACAGTTCCTGAGCAAAATCCTTTGGAAGCAATGGAAGATCCAGAGTTAGACATGCTGGAGACCAAAAAGGAAGATGAGGAGGACCAACCCGTTTCAGATCTAAAGCCTGCTCGCAGCCGAGCTGCTCGCAAGAAAGCAAAGACCAGTCGTGAGTTGAGAGTCAAGGGCCTCAGAAACTACTTGGCACGTCTTGGAGTTACATATCCTGAGTGGATGCGTTTCCATTGGAGGCGCGGTCATTGGGTCATTGGTTTTTTAATTTGCGTTATATAATGTTCTTATATCATCTTATATCATTGGATATTGTATATCATTGCATGTGCTTGTGTCAGGGCTGCGGGATGCCGGAAGGCGGCTGCGTGTCCGGATGGTCAATACACAACACTACAGGAAAGTCTTCTTGGACATGTGGATGCTTCAACTATCACGTGTGAAGCATGCAAGTCACTTCTGGATGAATTTCACTTTGATGCTGCTGAAGCTGAGCAAGCCATGGGATTAGCAGAGGCTGGAGAGGCGACAGAGCCCATCCCTATTCAAGTTGCAGCTGATGCGCACTCTGAGAGCAACCCTAGTGGGGAGAAGGATGCGCCCGATGCAGGGGTGGTTCCGGATGATCATGAACCTGAAGACCTATCGCTTCATGCCTTTGTCCGGTCTATCAGTTCATTCTTGGAGGCATCGGTTTGGCTTTGCTGGGGTATGACATGATCAAGGCATATCCATGCTATATAAAATGTATTGCGTGCAGGAACTAAAGGTACATAATACATTATATTAAGTATAGTAAACATTGATTATATAACCCTCATGAACCGTTTTGAGGATTATACAGAAGTCGATGTCAGAACAAGTGATTTTATATGTCTTTATAGGGTTTTACATGGTTTTACTACAACGTTGTTCAACAATGGATTCTTGAATATTCTTGATGTGTTTGGTGGAGGTCGTGCCCAAATTGGGACGGAAGCAGCGTATTCCCGTCCGCTGCTCACTTTGTACCTCCAGAAATCAACCTGAGGGAAAGATCATTGATGCCGTGACCACCAAGCGCAAGGATGTCCTCTTTTTCCTTAACCAGCATTGCAGCACGATGCAGCACCAAAGGAGGCTGGCACTCCATGAGTCATTGCGTCCACCTGCAGCGCGTAATGGGCCTATGCCTCCTCCCGAACCAGTTCCTTGTGAAGGAGTTTCTCTTGATGACAAGTCTGGAGGACGTCTCAACGTCTTACAAAAGCACGTCAAGCTATGGATTTCTTGGCAAGCTCCGTCCGAACTGCGGAAGCATTCCTACACCTTCTGTTCTGCTTCTCAAACTTTCACTTTGAGACATGCAAACTGCCAGGCCAAGTGCACAACGTCCAGGGCAGGCAGGGCCACGTGTGGAGAATGCTTGAAACTGACTGAGGCAAACAGTATCAGACGAGTGGTCGTCAAATTTGTGCTGAAGAAGTTTGCGGCAGAGCACTTGCAGGCACGTCTCTACCACAGTGATCAGAAGCTTAAGGATGTGGAGGCTGAGATCAAAGCCGATGAAATCTACCTTTTCCATCAGGCCCCTTTTGATCGCATCATCAATTTTCGCACGCATGAGCTGCAGATGTGGGTGCGAATGAGCTTTCACAGCATCAGTGTGAACAGAAGGAGCGAGCCATTCCACAGCTTTGTGCAAACTGTGGTAGATCCTTGTATGAGGGTGAACGTGACATCAGCTTTGCAGACCCGCCCTCAACTCCTGCAGGCTCAAGTCCTGTTCCAAGAGTTTCTTCAGAACGGAGATGCATCGGTGATGGACCGTGTGAATGCAGAGATCGCATCTGCAACAATCAATGGAAAGCTCCAGCATCACCCACTTCTCCAAGGTCTGACGATGAGCTGTCTGAAAATGTTGGATCGACAAGAGAAAGGCCTCAATATGACTGGCAGAAACGCTGCTACGTCAATTCAAGCCACTGAGGAAGGCCGCATGTTGGTGCAGGAAGCGGGGGCCACCTTGGCCATCCTGGGCTGCAACAAGGAGATTTTGAAGCGATTTGGCCAGAACTCTGCCACAAGGTCAGTGTTTGAAGACATGCGGGCTCACTCGCTTCCTACTCCAAGGCTGGCACTGGCAACGCCAACTCAGGTTCAAGAGAACTTGCAGCTCATTGACCACCATTTGAGCGCGACCACCATGACAAGCGGTTGTATCTCAAACGTGGTTTTTGTATGTTTTTGTATGTTTTTGATGTTTTTGTAGTTTCTTTATGATTCTCTTTCTCAATGACAACTGTTTTTCTTGGCACCCAGTTGCAAGGTGAGTTGCTCTATAGAATCACTAGGTATGACCCCCTACAAGAGGCATATTTGAAACATGTGGAAACTATATAGAGCTATATAGCAATATAATGCAATATGATGCAATATGTAGCAATCATTTTATTCCATAATTATGCAGATCTTCAGTACCTCACATTTTATAGAGATCAGCGTCAGGTAGATGCATTTGTGCCTTTGATTGCACTTACCTCCTCCAGCTGCAGTCTCAACACTTCAACAAAGAGGAGAGGACTGTTTCCATTGTGGGTGGCGCGTGGTCTCCTGAAGACAATAGCCATGCAGCTGTGGAGGTGAATGACGACTTGGACCTTACAGCCATCAAGCCAGCGACTGACATGTTTCTTGGATGGGTCTTTACAGAACTATCCATCATCATCCGTCATCTATAGGTTTCTATAGAATAAGGGGGGGGTTTTACATGTGATTTTATAGACTACCTTTTGGTTCCAGCAATGGATGTTTAGTTTTGGTATATATATATATTATAAATATAGTTAAATATATAATCTATATATTCTATGTATTCTATGCCTTTCCAGTGTGCGAGGCTAGAACTCCTGGTTTGGGACCCCTCTGCCCGAGTTCAACTGTGCCTCAGTGCAGCGGAGATGCCAGTAGCCATCAGTGATGTGGACGGGAAGTTTATGGCGCAGGTCATCGATCAGTTCATGGCAAATGGGGGTGCAGAACTTGTGAAATGTTTGTGCTTTGATGCGCACGGTAGCCACCAGCTGATACGTCGTGCTTTGCAGGGCGTTTTGCAGGACCGAGACCATGCCGTCCTGGCATCCTTTGATTCCAAGTTCTTTCGCCATCTGTCATACAGAAAGTTGCCGCCGCATTGCTTGCCCAAATTTCCACTTCAGCTGGCAACATTCAAAGGAGAAGTCTACTATTGTTTGCCAGGGCCTGCGCACGCGGCCAAAAACTCAGGTGGTCAAGCGCAATCATCTTTGCGCACGGTCCGGTTTGGACAATTTTGGCTAGATCTCTCGGGGACTCTCCTCTGCGGAATGCCAGCAAGTGCATACGCAAGGGATGACCCGCAATCAGACGCCATACAGGCCCTCCTATCAAATCCATGGTTTCTTGTCCACTCCAGCCAGGGAAGTGTTGACATGATCCCCATCCCATGGATGAATCGAGGAGCGCTTTTGTGGTCTTTGACTACAGCTCTGTGCCACGCACCGATGATGCACAAATCGATGAGCTTGCAGCAGCGGACAGAGGTAGCCCTTTCCGGCGACCTGCTATGGGATCTATGGATCCTGATGGCAGCAAAGGAAGAGGCTGCTGCCGGTGTTTTTGTGGGAAGCTTCTCCATGGCCAGGGAAACGATCCACAATTTACAGAATGTCTGCTTGGCTCTTGTGTCAATGGCTTTGACGAAACGGGCTACTCACCTAGTTTTTGAAAAAGTTTTTAACGATTTAGTTTGAATATATGTTAATCAAGTTCAGTTTAATCATGTTTAATCTTATTTGCCACAGTTTCTATAAAATCTAGTGTTGTGAGGTCCAACACATATATATATATATATTGCCATACTGATCAGGAAACAGTGGATCGCTGAAATAGCATAGCCTTCAAGTATACTCTATAAAATGACAGTATTGGACCCCAAGCGTGTGTATATCTATATATGTCTGTATATACATATATATATATGTATAATATTTAAATATATGATAAAATATGTACACTTCTTTAACCAGATGACTTTCTCAGGACAATTGGAACCCTTGGCGTCATGGCAACGCACGCCTTTCAGAGCTGTCTATTGAGCAGCTGTTTGGACGTTTACGGACCAAGCGGGCGAACGCCCAACTCACAGCAAAGCAGTTCTGGTGGTCCAGCCAGAAAGAGATGCTTTCTGCAGCAAACCGCAGCAAGCTCGGTGAGCTCAAAGAAGACAACTTCAAGGAGCCGCCCTTGACGGATGTTCAGTTTCATGGAACATATTGCAGTAAGACACCTTGTTTATCCTTTTTCTTTGTGTGTGTGTGTTTGTGAAATTCTTGTGTAAACATCCGGCAACTTTTTGTTTGTTGAAGGCTTCTGTTTATCTTTTAGTTTTTCTATGGTTTTGCCTGTCCACTGCGTACATATGCGTACATGAGGTTTGCTTCTTGCTGTGAACGGGCGTACGCCTCAGCCCTGCAACTTGCAGCGTGGGCCGGGAATGTCACGGTGGAGTCTTTGAAAGCCTACTACATCGAATCGTGCGAGGCAGACTGGTTTGAGAAGTCTCACAACTTTGCACCCGAGTTCGGGAATGGAGAAGAATCTGATGATGAACGCGAGGCCGCTCAAGATGTGTCACTTGCTGGAGTGACAAAACGTTTGGATTATTTTTTAAAATATAGTATTCTACCCACAGTATTTATACAATACTTGATGTATCTTGATGTATTGATATATTTTGATGCTTTTTGAATCTTTTTGATGTATTGATGTATTTTGATGTTCCCGTACATTATGTTTGATTCATTGTTGGTTACTCTTCGCTCAGGACCGAGAACCAGCGCTGCCAGCAGGCTTTGAGGGAGATCGTGCAGTCCGCAGTCCACACTGTAGCGTCAGAGGAAGAGGGACAGGATGGCGAAGGGTCAACTTTGCAGACGGTAGATTTGCGCCGTTTGGATGAGGACTCCAGGGCCGAGTTGGAGCCAGTCTTGAGGGAGGAGGTTGCCCCTTCCAAGCCCACATCCACGGAAGGCAAGCTTCCAACCACGCTCCGGCAAGCCTTGCGCCTTGTCAGCAGAAAATCAACGACAAGCATATACATACAAAAGCTTAAAAAAATATATATATAGACTACGGGCTGGAACCCTTGATTTTATAGACACATTTCGAGATTGAAATATAGGGTCATATCATCTGCCTCAAATTATTTGTTGTAGTATTGAATCTGCACAGGTCAGGTCAATCCATTTCATAGAGGTGTTTGTGTTGAAAATTTTCAGAGTCAGGTCACTTGGTGGTTGCAAGTGGAACGCTCTATTTCGCTTGTGTTTGTACCTCCGGGCTGCGCCAGACGGCTGTGATTCCATGTGGCTGAAGAATCCGAGAGCGAAAAGGAAGAGACCATTGACATGGTGTCAGGAAAATCAGCAGAAGCTGAAGGTCTTGCAGGCGAAGGCCACAGAGAACCGAGACCGTGTGAGAGCCGGGAGGTTGGAGAGATGGTATGAACAAGGGAAGAAGTTGAGATCAACCTTTTCTGTTGCACTACCTGAGCCAGACAGCATCGAGTAACCTGAAATGCAAGTGCAATCTTTTATTGTATATAAAAGTCTTTTTTGACATTTTCCATTCAATCTGTCTCTACTCAACTGCTCTGAAAAGTGCAGGTCCGGGAATCTAGTGCTCTTTGTGGACAACAATGAACAGATTGGCCTTGGTGTAGTTCTTGTGGTTTGGCGGATTGGCAAGAAGCGGCGGCCATCAGCTCATTCATGCCCGGTTCAGAATTGCTATTGCTTCAGGGTTGTGGTCGCTGAGCAATCTGAGGACAGGGATGGACTGGCTTCCAATTTTATATTGCAGTGTTGTTAAGGCAAGATACATAAAGATACATAAAGTATATGACAACATCATCAAGATTCAGATGATAAAGTATGCAAGCAAGACAGGCTTGAACACGTGATTTTATATACCAACAGGTTACTCAGCGCTGGCGTGTCCTTGTTGGTTTGTTTGGTTAATAAAAGGTCATGGGGTTTGAGCAAGTGATTTTATAATAGATCGATTGGTTTAGCGCGCAAGAGTTCGTATGTTTTTTTCACCGAGATGTAATTAAATGTCTAAGTATGGATAGACTGAAGGATTGAACTTGTGATTTTATAAAGGTCTCTATTGCCCTGCAAAGGAGAAACCAATGTTTTTCTCATGTCGGGCAACCAGTACAGTCAAGATTGTTCCACTCGATTCGCTTGTGGCAGTGTTGGATTGTGAAGACAGCATCTTATCGTACAGAAGTCATCAGAATTCAATTTTGTTTTTCAGCGTGGCGTGCGTGCGCTTCAAACAAAATTTCAAAACATGTTGTTGGCGCTCCCAGGTAGAAGACCGGCGCATGAGCTCATCAATGAGTGCGTCTTCGCCCTGACTCCGGAGTCTGTGCAGGTCATGCGAGAAGCGATTGAACGAAAAGCCGAAGGTTGGAAGTGCAGCTACGTTGGAACGCATGTCGTGGACTCAGAGAAGAAGCCCCGCCGGAGAATGAGAACATTCAAACAAACGTCCGCCATCATTGCACGAAAGCGTGCACAATTGACAGAGAAGAAGAACCCCAAAAAGGTCAACGCCAAGAACAAGACGACCAAAAGCAAGAAGAAGAATTTGAAGGTGTGTGCAGCCAAGATTGAGCCCGTACCTGCCAATTTCAGAAGAAGCGCGCAGGGAAGGTCGCTCATCCAGCAGGAGATGACCAGCATTTTGGAGATTGACAAAGTCAAGTTTGGAGCCAAGCCAGCCTTTGATTCAGATGGCAAGTGCCGGCTGAAGATTCCATCGGCTGAGAACCAGACATGGACCAAAGTCTTGGCAAAGTCTCCTGCCTATTTTGAGTCCATCTACTCCACCCGCCAACGGGCCTTGTACGGAGAATCCGTGCACAAGCATCTCAAATCCCTCAAGGAACAGGTTGCCCGAGAGGAGCGATCTCCGTGGCTTCGCTTGCTCCGCGCCCTGTGTGAGATGCCTGATGTCAGCTAATTCATGCAATTTGGGCTGGGTCGGAACCAAAAAGGTTCAACTGATTCAGTTTTTTCAATCCATCCACTACTGGTTCTTGTGTGCAACCCAGTGGACTTGTTTCATCTGGTTTCATTTTTCGATGTTATTTTTTATTTTTGGCTTGTGATATTTTGATAAGCTGTAAATTCTTTGATATATTTTTGATAGATTTGGTGTATCTTTCTGCATGTTTGATTATTTTTGTATATTCTTGTGCGAGGTTGTTTCAGTGGATGTAGAGTAGGATCGTGTAGGCAGCTGATGAAAGAAGATTCTTTTGAATCAAAGAACAGACAGAATGCGCCTTGAGGGATGAGGCGCTGAAACGGATGATCAGAGATGGGAGCGGTTGAAAAAAACAGAGCGCTTGAGGCTGTTTCTCAAAACGCACTTGTTCTATAAAACGAACGTGACGTGTCTCGTAAACGGTCATCGGAACCGCTTACGGACAAGGTCGGAAGAACCCGACAGCTCTCTATATTTTCTCAACCTCTAAGCTCTAGTAAAGTTGCTGATAGTACTCTATAAAGACATCTGAGTGCCAAAACAGAGGGTTAGCCACTGCATTTCATAAAGCTTGTTTGAAGGTCACAGGTCTTGATTTTATATAAACATACCCCCACGCATGCCAAAACATGTCTATAAAATGAAGGAAGGACCCCCCCCTCTGGAATGCACCGGGGGATCCTTTTATCATCCCTGTTTTTCAGAATCTTGGATCCGGATGTTTTTTCAGGTCTCCACACTGCGTTGACGCAAGTGGTGTGAAAGCGGTTTGGAGAAAATGTCTGCAACTCTTCGAGCAATCTCTCCGGTGATCTGCATACACCCAAAGAAACACACAAGAAAAATAATGCAACTAATCAAGGATCAAATAGCTCCAGATCCCGACCAAACAACATCTAGATTAGTTATATACACATATATTATCATATACCTGGATCATCCTTTGGGCGGAAAAAAGTGCCGGACCTCAATCCGACCAGCCCAAAGCCCGCAAGATTTCTAGTTAAGTTTCCCTATAAAGTGTGAGCGCTTCTTCAAGGAAGCTTCCCCCGCCGCCCGACAGGAAGAAACGCAAACTATTCTGCGTCCAGTAGTTAGTAGCTACCTAAGCTACTAGCTACCTCCCTAGCAAGCTACCTCCTCGCGGCCTACCCCCCCTTTAAACATCTTCAGGTGGGTGCAAGAACCTTGGCGTGGCTCTTGGCCTTGGGCACTTTGACCTCCACGATCGCAGCCTTCTTGCTGACCTGGATCAATGTGGCTAATGGCACAAACTTCCCTGGACAGCTAAAGACACTGGGTATGACCTGGGCGGTTTGGGTGGAAGGGACGGGTCCTGCCTGGAAGTCACGGTAGAGACTAGATGCGACATCCGTTGATGATCTCACTCTCAGGTGAGGACATTTTCCTGCAAGTAGCACAGTAGCTCTGTGAACAATTCTGAACTGGGATGATTTGTTTCTGTGGTTATGGAAAAAGCCTCAAGAGCGACCGACAAAAAAGACAGCCGCTCACGTTGTTCCTTGAGCCAAACGCAGGTCGTTTTGACCAGTGGTTCACCTTTCTCAGGTGTTCATGACCTTCATGAAAAGGTATGCTTTGGGTCGTGCGTTTTTCCATTCACACTCCCCCTATGCTGGGTCTGTGACACCAGCGTACTCTATGGGGATCCACCGCAGGTTTTTTCGTCTGCGGCTTCACCCAAAAATTCAAAGCTTCCAGCCGACCGCGAATCTTCGCTGTCGTGGCTCAGGCCAGATGGCCTCACAAAGGGCGTTTCAATGCCCATCCAAATGGGCAGGTCATCGGCTTCTGGCGGACTTAACCGCTCACTTTCCAGCGAAACCCTCCAGGCCTCCTCATTCAGGTCCTCTGCCTTCGTCGAAGCAGCTGGCCCGATCTCTCCCCTCTCCAAGCATCCAAGGCGCCTCGCCTCATAGCCGCTCGCGGGGACACCCTCCAAGGTCACATTGTCTCGTGCACTGATTGCCGTGCCATCGTAGGCACGAGACATTCGAAATGAAGTGCCAGTTAAGGCCTCCACAGCTTTTCGACCCCTCTCCGCAGCACGCGAGGAGACGCCACTATCATTTCCATCTTCTTCATGAACCGGCGGATCACTTGCACCTGGTCGGAGCGGCAGCTGAGCCTCAGAAGGCAAAGAATTCCCACCCTCGTGGATGCCAGCTTCAGGGCCGAACTTCACGAAGAAGAAGGAGTAGCCACACCACTCATAGCATCCTTTCAAATCTGAATTCCTGTTCTCCACCCAGTCATCGATGGAGAGCTTGCGAACCCATGCCTCCCTCGTGCTCCCCCGGCTGAAGGCCACGGTGATGCGGGTTGGAGAGAGACGGCCAATGGACATTGACGTCCCTCTATGAAGCGGATGGAACTGTCGCACTCGCGATTTCTTCAGAACCCTCACCCACCATTCTCCGCTGGCGGAACCACACATCCCAGGCACTCCCATTGGTCATTCCCCGTAGGTGGAGACATGAATCTCGCCAGCTGCCAAGGCTCATCAGTGCCCAGGCCAACATGCTTCGGCGGCGCCTTTGGAGGTGGCGCCTTCATTGCGCACATGCGCATTCTGCCATGGCTGCAAGTGGAGTTCAAACCCTTCGCGTCCGTTGGGGTGCCGGTCCGGCAACAGTCGAACGAGATCGAACGAGCGACGTGCGGGGATGCTCTGTAGCTTGTGTTTCTCCCGCATGCGATTGGGCCGGGTTCATTTTCCCTCGACCATCTTGTGTTTGGGCCGGGTTCATCTTCCCTCGACCATCTTGGTGTTTCTTTTGAATGGGATGCGTTAGACCTCTTTGTTGACAGGCAATTTGCCGTCTTCGAACACTTTTTGTGCACAAAGGCCGTCAGAGCTGCCAAGCTGCACACCGATGCTGCACGGACCGCAGTGTCCGAGCCAGGAGCCACCACTAGCAGTCCCAATGCCACCGCCGCACCCAGCGCCAACCTTTTCAAGCGAGACAGCGCCGGAACCTCCGCAGATGCTCCAGAATCCACCGAAGCAAACCCCACCGTAGAAGCAAATGTCTCCCAGCTCCGAGGCACAGTGATCGCCTTGGTCAACAGGTCAGCGCATAGATCGGCGCCAGGGATGTGCTCTGCATGCCACAACTTCATCTGCAGCCGCTCTCTCAAAACATGGCTGCGGAGTCGAAGATGCCTCGTCCGCCAAGGCCCGCTTGGGGCATGCAGCAGCTGCAAACCTGACAGGTTGTCGCCCCGCAAAACATAGCAGCCTTCGTGGGCCAGCGCATTCTGCTCGAGGACGTTCACGATCGCTCCAACACTTTCTCCCAGGGTCAAGCCATCGACGTACCCCAGAAGTTCACATTCAGTTGTGCTCAGCGTTGCAAAGGGCTGAGTCTTTGATTCCCAAGCCACCAAAGCGCCGCCCCATAGGCACATGATGCCCTGATGACCTTTTCCTCCAGTCGGTGCAAACGACGAGTCCGCCAACACTTCCAGCCTGGACATTGAGCTCCGTCGCCCATAGGAGTCTATCTCCTCGGAACAGGGCTTGTAGGCGAGCGCATAGTCAAGGGTGTTCATGAGGTACCCCACCACATGATAAGCCAGCTTGAGCACTCTCTTCGGGCATTTAGTCACCCTGGACCCCAGGTAGGACACAGCGAAGCTCAGATCCGGCCTGGTGCGTGTCGATAGCCAAAGGAGCTCGCCGATGATATGACATTTTTTCACATCTTCCTGAAGAATTCCGTCCTCCAGGTCCACATCATCCAGCTTCGGGAGGGGAACTTGACGAGGTTGAAGATCAGGATATAACTAACAATTTCCCGCGTGTTGTAGTCAGGCTGCCCCACCAACAATTCATCATCCTTCCACCTCATCTCTATTCCACAAAATTTCAACCATTGGTGCTGAGTCACCCACTTTGGCTCTGCGCACTTCCACATGGTTGAGAGCTTCTTCAAAAAACGTTCTGCCGTGGGTCGAGGTGCAGTAACGATGAAGTCGTCGACATAGGACAACGCATATCCAGCCGTTGAACCATCATCCATCACACTCACGAAGTCCTCCTCGCCTCCCAGCGCAGTCATCAATCGCCACACGTTAGGCTCTGGAGTGGGAACAACCCAGTTGTGTACACCATCTTCTCACCATCGCATCTTCTGCAAAGCTTCATCTCTGTAGGCCTGCCAGTCAGACGGAGAGGTGTCCAGGCCGTAGACTGCTTTCTCGATCACCCAGCGGATGTCAGGTTCGATGAGTCCAGCTTCCACCAGTATAGATGGCGGTTTAGTCACCATCAGCCTGGACGATTTCCGAGGTGCGAGCAAAAACGCCGTGGAGACGTCAGTGACCCCAATAGACCACTTCTCCTGAGCCGCCTTTCGCAAGGTGCACCTCAGAGACATTCCATCAATGCCACTGGCATATAGGTCAAAACTGCTTCCCATGGTCTTCTGTTGAGGTGGTAAGTCGTCTTGACGATCCTCAAGGGCCATAGGCTGTTCTTGACGTTTTGAGGTGTCCTCCACCAGGTTGCCGCAGAGAACAATGCGGGCTTTCTTGCGAGCGTCCGGGGCCTTCACCGTCGGGACAACCTTCGATGGGACCACCAGCATCTGTTCATAGCCTGGTTCATTGACCAAATCCTTCACCTTCACGGGCCGGACAGCTACTATAGTTGAGGTTTCCAATGATGTTACCTCATTCTTGAGAGGTGGAATCCACAGTGGAAGATCTTTTCGAACCTGGGCTAGTGGGACCGTGTAGGTCTGCAGGACTGAGTGGACCGCCTGCTGCTCCTGCGGTGGCGAGGTACCAAGAGCCATTGCCGCCATCTGGTATTCCTCATCGCCACTTCGCATTTCAGTCAGCTTGTCCTCCATCTCCAAAACCATCTTCTCCATATAGTCGAGGATGTAGCCCTGCATGGTTCCTTCATCTTCACCCACCGCCACGTCTTTCGCCAGGTCCGACCA